TTGTAAACACGCCAACGACATATATTACGTGGTAACAAATGCAGGAAGGCGTGACCGCGACCTAGCCTGGTTCCGCGGTCAAATTGAAAGCTGGAACCGAGAGGATGGCAAAGGTCGCGGGAAGGAGGTTCACCTCGAGGTCCTTGAAGACTGGGGGCTGATCGCTTTACAAGGTGAGTCTCCCGAGATCCGCCGAAGGTGCGTGCCTAGACTCAACGCATTCGATCAAGGACCCAAGTCAGCTGAGGTCTTGCAAAAGCTCACTTCATATGATGTACCTGCTCTCCTTTTCGGCCGGTCGGCATACATGGACATCACTGGCATCCAGTGTCACGTTGCACGTGGTGGATATACTGGCGAGGACGGCTTTGAGGTTTGTCTTTTCCTGATACAATTGAGATGTCTTTTGAACCGTCTGTACAAGATTTCGATCCCACCTGAGCATACAACCAGCATAACTAAGCTTTTCGCCGCACCACCTACTCAATTGACCGGACTAGGTGCTCGCGATAGTTTACGGTTGGAAGCAGGCATGTGCTTGTACGGACATGACCTAGATGAAACAACGACGCCAGTTGAGGCAGGACTTAGCTGGGTTATTGGTGGGACTCCTTTGCTACTTTCCTTCACACAAGACTAAGGTGTTTTCTAGGCAAATCTCGTCGGGAACACGGCGGCTTTATCGGTGCTGACACTGTTCTAAAGCAACTTAAGGAAGGCCCTTCTCGTCGAAGAGTTGGCTTTGTTATTCCAGAGGCTCCAGCACGAGGTATCGTTGGCATCTTAGCTAGGAATCAACGGAAGCTGATTTAAGCCTAATCCTCCCAGAGGGTGCGAAAGTTTACTCTATCGACTCACCGGAAACCCAGATAGGCATCATCACCTCTGGAATCCCCTCGCCAACTCTGGGTACAAATATTGCAATGGGGTACATCAAGAGTGGGCACCATAAGAAAGGCACGAAGGTTTCGGTTGATGTTAGGAAAAAGTTGCGTGAGGCTGAAGTAAAAGGGATGCCTTTTGTGCCTTCAAGATACTGGAAGGGAGCAGCGCCTGCGTAAGGCTACAAACCACCCAAATACTAGGAAATTTCAAATCTGCACCCACAATGAATTTCGTTTAACACTGTCAACGCATACAAGCATGACCATGTAAGTAAACTAAGCGCATGTATGCGCCCTACTATAAGCTTGCCTGGTTTTGAGTATACCCTGGCTTTCCGGCCGAGGCTCTTATATACCGGTTGGTAACCTTATCAACCGCATTTCAGATATTATCTCTGACTCAGAGTCGAGGCGCACGCGGGGCCAAACATTGCTCCCTCACCACCTCAACCACCATGAAAGATTCAAGCCATGCCGAGGTTATAGTTCGAGACGCAACAGAGGAAGATTTGCCCTTTAGTGAGTTCATGGTTCTTTTTTTCAAGGGGGAGATACTTATGCCACCGTCTGTACATGAGTGAATGAGGTTTACAACTACAACATTCTACACTCCGTCGGACTTTTCTTCACTCATCCTGTCTCTGACGAGTATAGGCTTAACTGGTTCCAAAGTATACGGCGTAAATATCTAGACGGGGAACCTTATCCCTGCCTACTCGGTCTCAGTAAAGGTTCAGACGGCAAAGAGACCAAGTTTGGGTATGTGTGCTACCTGCCTTGGATGGAAGGTAAACAGTTTCAACGGTACGTCACATAATAATTCCCTCCAGAAACTGACTGAGCCCTCTACGTTGCCTTTAATAGTGCAGCACAAATCTCTCTGTATCTTGCGCAAGAGCACACGGGACTCGGCTTGGGCGCTGAGTTGCTCAGTGCCATTTTGGCGCACCCGTCAACCAAACAACTCTCTGGCATCCTTGGTTAGTTTCGGCTATCGTCTAGACATCGAGTTTGCCATATAAATCGCCTTGTTAGCTGTAATCACGACTGAAAACGTTCGGTCTGTTAGCTTCTTCTCGAAACGTGGTTTTGTTTACTCTGGCCAGTAAGCAGTAAAACGCCCCGTATACTCTCAAACAAGTTTACTCACCTTGTTTATAATACCCAGACTTAACAATGTCGGTTACAAGTTTGAGCGATGGCTAGATGTCGCGAACTACACCTTATACCCTTCTGGCGAACCTGGCTTCATGAGTTCCCAGCGCGGGAGCAACAACAGGTGTGCCGTACTGAACGTCAATATTTAGTCTAGCTAACTATATCCCAAGCTCAACCAATCTAGCTGCTCACGACGATGCGCTGTCAACGATTGTTTGTAGAGATATCCGGATAGGTGATCTGTCGACCGGTATGTATCACCTTATGTCGCGGGTTAGTAGGAGTTTATAAAATGGATGTTCATACAGTCAACGATATTCACAACCAGGAGAAATGGTACGCTAGTGTAAACTCGTTTGTATCAACCACAACCATGGAAGAAAGGCGTGGGTGGTACGAGCGCCTTGGTGCTAGGCCAGAACTTCCCTGTCCAGCTATTCTAGCTCAGGCGTCAGACGAGGTAATAGGGTACGCTTACTTGAAGCCGATTTCGGATAAGCCCGCGTATCGATTGTAAGTATAGATTTCCGCTTCGTCTCGGCCTACTGCTCACTGATTTTGGTCATTAGCTCAGCTGGGCTTCACCTCGCAACGCACGATCAAACAGCAAGTCACCACTTGCTCAAAGCTATCCTTTCGCATCCGCTCACCCAACGTTTCAGGCTAGTTATAACAAGTATGTCTGGCTATGGTCATGCATTGGCTAACTGGGCTGACATAAGAGCGTAGCTGCCGCTGCTTCAGAGCCGTTCATTCAAGAGCTTTCGGCTCAAGGGTTTCAACAATCGTTAGTGTATGTATGCGCTGACTTGCGGACCAAAGCTCTGTTAATTGACATTTGGCTCCTATCTAGGTGGAACCGACTTCTTGAGCGAAATGGGATCCTTGAGGACGTGCTGCGTTATAGCATCGATTTGGGTGCTGCAGAGCTACCTTGAACTGGTGTCCGCCCCAAACCCATATTTGCAGAAGTTTAGCAACGAGATGATTCGACCTTACACCCGTACATAACAGATTTCTATTGTGACGCAAGCACCACAAGCAGGCGCACATCTACTACCTGTATCATATCAGCTAGCGTTATACAAAGAGACCTTTGTAAAGACCTCGGTCGTGAGAGGTGAAAGGCCGACTAACCCGCTCTTTCTTCAGCAAATTAGACACATATACCACCAACCAACCCGTGTCCAATCAGACTTCGAGAGGCTCCACGTCTCCTGCAATCGATTTAAGGCATGACCTCTAACAAAGGTAGTAAAGAGGATCATGAAAGCGCATGAGCGCCCGACGTGACTCATTCGAGCTAGCTAGCCGTCATTGCACTACAAATAACAATGATCGATTTGTGTATCGTTATATTAATTTATGCCATAGGATTGTTCACACGTGGTAAACGCCAGGGCTTTGTCTCGCGGTATACAAGAGCCAGCAAGCTCAGATGTCACTCCTTTGTCGATCAATAATATCGAGCCGCATTCTGCAGTACCTATTCTAGTTCACTATCGTGCAGCCTTTTCCAAGAGCCGTAAAGTCCACCGATCACCTATACACCTTTATCCTCGCGCATATATAAATGCTCCACCACTAGAGTGTGGAGGAGCAGGCAGCCCGCCAGCCTCAATCCACCCTTCAACCACCACAGCGCAGGACCTATGTCTACCATTGCATCCTGCGCGCCTGTTGATGTGTCGCGTAAGTCCTATATATATTTGTTGGGGGCTACACTGATTTTGAGCAATGATGTTACCTTTAACTCCAGGCGATTCGGTCGCATCACGCGGTGGCCCCATAAGGCACCCCTACTTCTGCCTCGAAAACGAGATGGTAGCCATCCAGGTAAGAAACCGCGTTGTATATCGAGCCCATGTGTGCACTAAATCTGCTCGTATTCTAGGTTGAAAACACACTATTCAACGTGCACAAGCAGCAGTTGTGCCGTTCTGAAACGTTCACAGAAATGTTTGGTATAAAAGAAAACGGTATTGTAGCCCAAGGCTCGTCCCTGGACAATCCAATCAAGCTACTAGGGATATCTATGCAAAGTTTTGAAAGTCTGTTGGTCGCGCTGTATTCCTAGTATGTATGCGTCGCTTATTTGAATAGGGCCTCTTGACTAACTCCAAGGAAACAACCAGCTCATGCCCGACATGCGTTCATGCTCTGCAAGTAGTTGAACAACGCTCCTTTGACCCTCGCCATATCGCACCTGCCTTTCGGCTCGCAGATATGTGGGGCTTTACAGATCTCCGGGCTCATCTGATCCAGCAGGCTTCTAAAAAGCTCGACGCCATTCATCGACTCGTATTCGCACGCGAGTTTGGGCTTTGCGATCTAGTCGAAAAAGCGTACCTAGACTTATGCCAACGCGACGAGCCGCTGACGTCTGAAGAAGTGAGCAAGCTAGGGTACGAGAGCTCTGCTCTCATCGGGCGGTTGCGCGAAGAGACCTGCAGAAGGTTCATTCAGAGCACGCCGACATGCCCCCCAGTACAACAAAGTCTTGACTCCTATAACTGCTTCGGTTCACCCTTGTCTCGTGATCGTACCCGCAGGCGGCCGACACTAACGGCACCAGCTGCACCATCTACCGCGCGTGCACCACTTCCTTCTTCGGACCACGCTAAGAGCTTTCTTGTGGATGAGATCAAAGGGTTTGTTGACCAGAAAACGAGTTCTGATTAAAGCCTGTGTGGTTAAGTGATTGAAAGTGTTGGGCTGAAATTGTGGATTTCATGTATCAAATCTCGAAAACAATGTAGCATAAATTGGTTTGTATATAACATGGCGAGATACTATGCTCGAAGTAGAATGTACGTCGGCCGCTGGCACTAACGCCCGGCCGAAGATTACATATCCTCCACTTTTTTCCACTTTTTTAAAGAAGAACCGTCCTCCTAAATCGAAAAAAAATATGGTAAACCAAGGTCTTTTGAGTTCAAAACAGTCTATAAAACATACTGGACAAGTTGGGATTTGAACCCAAGACCTCTCGCAATGATTATATAAGCAATAAGTCCCAGCATGGGGCTCCTGCTAAGCGAGCGCGCTACCAACTGCGCTACATGCCCATATTTGGGAGAGCACTGGAAAGTGACCTTGAAGTATGAGCCCATCTTCCATATCAAGCAGATTGCTCCCCGCTCAGCTCTTGATATGATTACCGTCGTGACCATCACAGTCAACATGCCGGTATGTTCCGCTCATAAAGGTACCCCAGCAGCGGCATTTCAACCCCATCGTCTCAACCCAGCTGCGAATGAGAAGGAA